TGGCCCCTCTGGAGTGCCCCAATCCTGGCCCCCTGGCTCCCCTGCTGGCCCCCTGGCCCCTCTGGAGTGCAGCTCATCCCTGCTGCCCCAGGCCCCAGGCTCAGAAACGGGAGGCCACGGGGGATGAGAGCACGGAAGCCGCCGGCCCTGCCGCGCCCCCCACGCTGTCCCCGGCAGCTGGGCCTGGGCACAGCCCTCTCTGAGGGGCCGTCCTGCCCGCCTGCCTCCCTCCGGGTGCACCGCCAATGGAGGGCCTCGACGGCCGGCCCAGGCGAGGCTTGGGGCCAGAGAGAGACACACAGAGACAGAAATACAGAGGTGAGACAGAGAGACAGAGACAATAGAAAGAAACAGAGAGACAGGGCTAGGGAGAGGGCTCAGGAGAGTAGGTGCTGCCTGGCAAGCCGAGGCCTGAGTTCAATCCCCAGTTCTGCAAAAAGAAAGAAAGAGACAGAGAGACAGACAGAGCCAGAGAGCTGGAGACACCAGTGCTGCACCCTGCCGTGGATGAGCTACTCCGCACAGTGCTTACATATTTTTAAGGCGATCTCAGCATTTACTTGTCCAAACCCTGTTAGCACAGACCTAGCTTTTCAAGGGGCTGAGAGGGTTAGTAGTGTAACTATCTTAACTAATATCCTTTTACTTCTCTATGCCTTCTTCTCCCATTCCCTTAAACCAGTTGCTCTTTCCCTTTTACCGTAACCTTCTATATTTACATTTACTCTTCCAGCTTCTCACGCTAGGGATACAATATGATATTTGCACATGTGCACCTGCTTTATTTCACTTATGAGTGTGGACTCAAGTTGAATTTTTTTTAGCTTCTCTCCTCCCCTCCCCTCCCCTCCCCTCCCCTCCCCTCTCCTCTCCTCTCTTCTTCTTTCTTTTTGTGCCTGGAGCCAAACTCGGAGCCTTGGGCCTGCTAGTCAGGCACTGTGCCACAGAGCTATTTCCCTGGTTGAGCCAGTTCATTTTTTGAAAAACACAAGATTTTCTCTTGCTTTTGAAATCCCAAGATCTTGAAGTTTTTGGACACAGGGTGACCTGGCTAAAGGTTGTGTTGTGGGGAGCTGGGCACCCACAGGCGCAGCACCTTCCTGCTCCCCACACCTGGGCAGCCCTCGCTTCAAGCACACAACGTCGCCTGCTGAGAGACACATGTCTCATTCCCCGGGAGACGCAGCAAGAGGGGCAGCAGCCTCCTGCCTCTCCAAGGCTGGGTTTGCATTGAGCCGTCCCCAGGAGGTCACGAGCCCTGGCCTGGCTCTGGAGTTGACGGCAGGTGAGTATGTGGGGGCCCGGCTGTGAGACCCCACTTTTAAGATGCTGAGGCTGCCATGGGCCAGGTGTGCTGCCCCAGAGGTGGGAGCCCAGGCTGCTGGCTGGGGAGCTGGCGCCCCTGCTGCCCCTCACTACTGTGGTCCCATGGCTGTCCACAGCCTGTGCACAGCAGGTCGCAGCGAGGCTGCACATTGCTGATGCCATGTGACCAGAAGCTGCACAGGGCTCCTGGGAAGCGCAGGGAGGGAGGCCAGGATGCGCTGCCATGGGTCAGGGTTCGAGCCTTTTTTTCTTTTTTGAGACATGGTCTCACTATGCAGTTAAGGCTGGCCTTAAGCTTACTTTGTAGCCTAGGCTGGTCTCAAACTCCCAATGGTCCTCCTGCCTCAGCCTTCAGAGTGCTGGGACTACAGGCGTGCGCCACCACACCCAGCTAGGGAGCCTTTCTTTACTGACCCAGGTGGATCCAGCCAGGGGAGGGGAGCAGGTGAGCCGGGGCCTGCAGCCTGTTATGAGGGTCCAGGCGCCTCTGTTGTTGGAGTTGCTGCTGGTCCCCTCCCGTGGCCCTGGGTGTCTGGTTGAATTTGTAGACGTGTCACTGAGGCCATGTGTTCCCCACAGTGTTCCCTTCTCACAGGGTCCCACACCCCAAGCCTTGCACCCACAGCCTGGCAAACACAGTCCATTTTTCACATTTCCAGATGAGGAAACTGAGTCACACTTCCTGCTGGTCAGGTGCTGTAGGGCCCACTGTGTGCACGAAGCCGGGCTCAAGCAGAAAGGGGACTGTGTGCTGCTGGGGTAGGGTGAGCACCAGGCTGGGACGCCTCTGCCCTTAGCAGCCTGGGGACCCTTGGCCTCCTGGGGCCAGCTGGCAGGGCAGGGACAGGGCCTGGGTTGGAGCCCTGGCCCTCAGGAGGGCTCTGTGGACCGCTGTCCCTTCTGCCCAGGACGTCACCTGCTCTCCTTGGAGACCCACTGAGGACTCCGAGTCCCAGCCCCTGTATCATCTCACAGTCTGCTCCTTTGCAGCTCCCGGTTCCTGCTGGCACTGCTTCTGGGTTCTCCCACTGTGCCGACTGCCCCAGCCGGTCCCCAGCCAGGGTCTGCTCTCTTCCCTCCTATGTCCCTGGCACTGTTGTTCCATGGCCCTTCCAGGGGAGCACAGCCTTGACCAGAGGGCCGAGACCCCCAGGGGTTCTTGTCCTCTTGGGAGGCCAAGCAGGAGCCAAAGGAGATCCGCCTCATTTCACAGCCT